CCCAATGATTTTACACAAGCATAAAGTTTGAGATAATCTTATTATCGAGCAATTGCTTCGGGAATTATAAGTTCACTCATGTACAGAAAGTAGAACCATATCCAACCTGTAAATATATATTTGCAATACATAACCAAGTTTTGAAAAATGAATCTCTGAAACATTTGCCCATATTAAATGCTAGGACTTCAGAGAAATTCATATCTTGAGGTATAACTGGGTATTTTTTTCCCTTCTGGCATAGTTTTTGTATTATGACCAAGTACTATAGTAATATTTTTTAAGAACACAACACATCAATGTTAGCTTTAGTTTTGCATATTTCATTCCCACATTTTATTAAACTTCATTCTGACAAAGAATTCAAATTTCTTGGGGGGGGGGGGATGAGACTCTTATCCCTGCAACATGAACGTATCATTTTTTAAAAAGTCAGTTGTATATTTGGTTCTTGCTTTCTAATCATCTAGCAAAAGTTGTTATTGCCTTGCTAAAAGCCATAATATTATTGTAGACTATTTCATTTTAAGTTGATAATCTATTCTAGACATTTTCAAACATCCATGGGAGCACAATTTTTAAAAATAATTAAAAAACCTAAGCAGCAAAACAATAACTGATCAAAACTGAAGCACATTTTGAAAGTTGGTTAAACCTGTGGGTATAGGCATCTACAACAACCATCTGCCTGGCAGATCAAATTTATTTATTTTGCTTATTTAGTACTTTATATGTATATATTTAGTTTTATATATGAAGGTGGTAATACGTACATTTTAAGGTATCCACCATACTGCAAAGTTTTAAAGCCCTGCTATAATCTAAAAGAGCAAATGCATTTATTCAAATTGTTTATTGTTTATCATATTGCCATTTTCTGAAACTGCTAAATTTTTCACGGCTTAGGGCAAGTTCCTTATAGAACCCATCACAGTAGGATGGTTAGACATCAATACACAAAGGAAAATAACCAATGCCCCAAATTTTACACTACTGTAGAAAAGGTAGGTAATATAACAATATCCTATTTCTTTAATTGTAGGTAAATAGTAATCTTAAATTGGCCCAATTTAGTTCAATATTGCTGAGCTAAGAAGTTTCTTTTCTTTTTTCCCTGAAAAACCCCTTCACATACTACAAAGCCCCTCATTAAGAAAATAATCCCAGGTGAAGGAGAAATTCCCCAAACTGCCAGATTACCCATACTCTCTTTGCTTTTGAAATAAACACACACACAAAAAAGACCCCCACCATCCATTTGCATCAGAAGGGAATGAAGCATGCTGAAATTCATACAAATCTGTCACTGTGATTTTTTTTTTAAAAAATCTTGCATCACAGAATCTTAGATGTTCAGTATTCATAAAATAAATCTTTCCCCAGGATGAAATCTAGATTTTGCACTCTCTTCAATCCTAAACCTAAACCTAACCCTCAACATTTGGACCTCATTTTAAACAAACTCACAAAAATTAAAAGGAACATGAGAAACTTCCCAAGTGATTAGTTTATTGTAAAAAAAATGAATTCTAAGGTATATTAAATGATAATCAGAAAAAAATATAAATTTCTTAAAATAGCTCTTTCAGCTCAGTCGATGTGAAGGATTCTCTTTCCTACTATTATCAATGGAACTGAGAAAAATCTACCTTTGGTTGAACCATATGTCTCTTTGCAATGAATTTAATAGTCTCCAATTATGTTATTTTCAGTGACAGATGATTTATTATTCTGATGTAAAGCTGTAGAAGATCAAAATTCTGATTATAACAACTCATAAGGATTTATAGTTTAACAAGTTTTGGAATATATTGACAAAACATAAGAATGTAAACCATTTTTCAATAAAAGTATCAGAATATATTGGCCCAATAAATTTAGCTTTTATAAAGCTAAAATCCCATAGGTTTTAGTATCCAATTGAAATCTGCACATGTGTCATTGCAGAAACAAATGTAATTCCTGGCCTTGAAATTGTCATGGCAAAGTTCACAAGATTTTGAAGGGAATGCTATCCATGTTGTATTTTAGAACATTAAGTAAAAACAAGTTTAGATTTAAGAAAGACAGGCACCATGGTAATATAAACTCTTCAAAAAACTAACTATGAAAAATTCACTCCCCTTGCAATTCCACTTATGAAAGAAATAGGCAACCTATAACAAAGCTAGTCAATTTTCTTCAGCTGATTCTAAATTTTCATTTTAAAAAATTGGCTTCTGAGGGAATTTATAGAGTATTGTATTGGTTGGCCAGCAAACCAATACAATAATGGAATTTTCAGAGTTGTCATCTCATGACACTTCAAGGAACAAGATCAATATATTAACACACAGACGCTTGATATAGTTATTCTGACCCTTACTGCAGTTGAAAAAAATGAAAAATCAATATAATCCAGAAATTTTCTGAAGACCATAACATGAATGGTGTTATATGTGCAGCTCGTAGGCCTTGCACTTCTATTCTGAAGTATGCTCTTTTTTTTACAACCTCCTCTTTTGGAACCATTAATTCATTCTTTTGGCACCAGTGAAAGAGATTTTAAAGGTGCATCTTCAATCTTTTCTCAAAAATTTTATTCTTTAGACCTGTCTCCTAATGTGACATCAGAAAAAAAATCTTCTTTTAAAAAAATTCTGCACATATTACAAAAAGTAGGAAAAACAACGTGTCTATTAAAATGCTGAGGAAGAGAAACATACAGAATCTCTACCGTTATAAATAACTTAATCTGAAGGTATCAAAACCAAACTACAGTTTCAAACATTCTTACAATAATGCATTGCATACTTTGTGAATATAATGAAAGGAAGATTGTTTGACACATTGTCTGACATTAAGCACTTTCTGCAAATATAATACAATATTTGTTTTTTATATGGCTAGACCAGTACTTAAAAGATAAATATTAAACTAATGTATACTATGACTCACAAACAGCTTTATCATATCTGCTAGATTTCCTGTACATTTTTAGAATTTTAATTTAACAAAATTAAATGGAACCTGATATGCTATAAAACACTAGTCTCAAGTATCTCTCTTAATAGGCATTCTTCTTAAATTAAAAAATAAAATAAAAAATAAGTGTTGCTATCTGGTGCTTTGGGGGATGGGAGAGACACATTCTGAGAAAAAGACAAAACTGAAAGTAAAATTCTGAAATCCTGAAAAGTAAAAGCAGTTGTTTACCATCATGCCTTCTTAGAGAGATTTTTTGATTGTCAACTAAACCCATGGCATGTACTCTCAAAATTACAAATGTGCCTATTTATCCCAGTGTTGCGTGCTCTACACTATACTAGATTGGGGTAGGTACTTCCAGTGATTCATCAAAACATTTGTTGATTGACATACGTAAGAAATAATTAAGTTAAAAGGAGAACAAACAAAATCTTTATGCATCAAATGCAATTTAGCTATAATCCCAAACAATCTACAGAAAAACTGATAGGTAAACAGGAAACGCTCTCTTGATTAATTTGATATAGAGTTTACAAATATAATACTAGATATGCTTCCTTTTTTTGCATATATTTCTCAGTCAGGTCTTTATTTTTCTTCTCATCATATATCTAATTACTCCATTATAAATTTCTATTACTGAAGAAAATATATGAATAAAACTAATATGAAATCTTAAGCACTAAATTAGTCCTCCTTTTCCCCTTCATTCACCTATATTTATATCTCAGCAGATTGTTTACAAGCCAATTCCACTTCAAAAGCAGATTCTTATGTATGATGTATCAAAAGATTTAAAAAACCCATCTAGTGAACCTGATACCTATTCAGAAATTTTAATTTTTCTCATTTAATAACTTTTCTTGTCCTATCTATGCTACTAAATTTCTGCTGTCTGTCTCCTTCAATTAGCCCAAACAATGCATTTATAGAAAAACATTTTTTTTTTAATCAAGGTGCCTCAAATCCACTAATTTATAAGAAAGTATATAAATACCAAGGATCCATTACACCATGTAATGGTATTTCAAGGATCTACACATCAGTTGTTTTCATAAAGTTGTGGTCACGATTGTGATTTCTGATGCACCCTGCTAGCTTCCTACAAGCAAAAACAAATGGGGAAGCTGGCAGGAATCAGAAGTGACTCCTGCTCCCACTGCTTTTTTGCCAGCCCTTAATCATTTGATTTTTCTGTTTAGGAAGTATCTCTGAAAGAACGATCCAATGGGATCATGGGTTGTCTAGTTTTGCTAGTTCAGGAAGAGTTCCAGTCCAGCCACACCTAAGCATTTTTCAGTCCCTAGGAATTTAGTAGCTCAAAGTATGAATGTGAATACAGTGGTACCTCAGTACTTGTCGTTAATTGGTTCCGGGAGGTGCAACAGATACCAAAAAGATCACGTGACTTACCACGTGACCCTTTGTTCCATTGGGAAGGGCTTCCTGTCTGCCTCTTTTCTTTTTGCAGCAATCTTCCCAGCATGGCCAACTTCCTGTCTGTTCCCTGCGGCTGTCCCCCTTTTCCTACCACAACAGGTTGAGTACCAAACGAACAAGTACTGGGACATTTTTGTATCAAAATGCAAAATTCAACAAGTTTTGAAACAGACAAGTACCAAGGTACCACTGTATAGCTGAAATCAATAGAACTGGAAACTGTACCCATTTAACATTCCATATCCAATATGGGATGAATGATATTGTGCTTGCCAATGTTATTTTGTTCTTGGATTTAGTAGTTCAGAATTTATATTTCTAGCATTTATTTCAATCTCGGATCAAAAAGCATATTGTTAAATGCATGCCATGTCCAAAGAAGAATCACAGATGTACTCATATTATATTTTAACATGGTAGTTTTGTTTGAAGCCCCCAGAATACATTACAAATACACGTAGTTTCCCATCAATGATAGATAACCTTGAATAGGCATAGGTAATCCTCATTTAACAACCAAATTTGGGACCAGCAATGTAGTCATTAAATGAACTGTGTTTAGGATTTTAATTCAGCTTTCCTTTGCTTTACAGCATCAGAAGGCCATGATCTGAAACAGCAGGGTTAGCCCAAGCAATAGGGAAGGCTTCTGGAACTTTGTCACAAGGAAGCCAGGTAAAGGGGCAAATCTCACAGCCCTTTTCCCCACCCCACCACCCCGTCTTTAAAATCATCTCCCCAGCAGCGAGATTATTAACAAGAGAATGTTTGTATTTACATTCATTGGAGAGGAAAGAATTTAAAGAGTAACCAAACACACAATGGGAACAGACATTGAAACAAATGCACTAACAACAGCAGTTTGCCTAGTGTTAATTTAGGAGGCAAAAGGAAGCTTTTAATCTGAAACTGATTATGGTCTAGTCAGTTACATGCTGCAACTGTCAGTCCAAGATTCTAATCTACTAATTAAGATCACAGAGCTGAATTTATTAACTTGTGTTGGTATTTTTTAGGGATACAATACATTGCCCAAAAAAGTAGCTGAAGAGATACCTTGTTTAAGTAGTCTCTGCTCTGTGAGGAGGAGAAGAAAAAACAACAACACAAGACAATGCATACTACCTAATGGTAATAGTGAACGTATTACAGAGAGGGACACTGCAAAGATAAATACAGGCATTTGTTGCAAAGTTACTTTTTCACCAATGTCACAATTGCAAATGATTGTTGTCAGAGGCAGTCACTAAATAAAGATATTGTGTTTATGGTACATTCTAAAGGGCCTACTATAGTACATTCTGAATCACAACAGGCATGTTATTCTTGAGGAGGGAGGAATTCTTTAAGTCTTTTCTTAATGAGCCATTGATAATTACCACATATTGTTTCTGGTCAAATCTGATTTCTGCAGCTATTCAACTTTTCACTAAAACCATGCCTACCTGGCTTTTTCAGGTGGTTGGAAAAGTGAAGTTGGATTTGGGAGGAGATAAATAACTCTTTGAATCAAGAAAGTGTAGCCAATCTTGAAAGAGGCAGTAGTGTAACTCCTCCTTGAAAGGACTTTTTTTAAACCTAATCCATCTACTAAATACTGGCACCTAATGGAACCCAGATAATCCTTCTATTTTACAGCACCCATGCCCAAATTTAACAGGCTTTAAGAAAGTCCTAAGTCTGGTTCTTCCCGCAGGTGTTGGGCCAGGGACTTATATAACTCTGTTGGAATTATAGGAGGCATTTGGCTCCCAGCACAATATATTTTACATTTTGTATTAAATTTTATTATTTATTTATTATTTTCCTGTATTGAAGTTTTCAAACCTATAGCCATCTATAGTTGCCTAACAAGTTAACATATAAATTTAATAAACCACACTGGACAACTTTATGCAATTTCCTCCTTTGGGAGATTTTAAAGGTGGTAGTGAGAATTCAGCTTCAGAAGATCCTACAGGAAACATAGTACGTAGACCCTTTCTATTCAAAGTTCAGCCCAACCATGGGACAGGACCAACATTTGGCTGTCTTGGTTGATAACCTCTACTAGGACTTGGATGGGGAGAGTGCACTCCTGAATCTATTGGAAATGATATTCTGCTGGACATTCTATGAGGAATGGGCACTATTTATGGTGTTTCTCCTACCTGAATGGATCGTTCCAAATGTCTGGAAGAAGAGTGGGTCAAGTCCTTGGCTCCTTCACTGAAGGATGTCATAGGACTTAGTGTTCTCTCCCATGCTTTTCACTAATTACACACAACTGCAGGTAGCGTGACATACCAGCAATATATTGATTACTACACATTGCAACTCCAACTGAGCCAGATATGTTAAAGAAGTTCTAACTTGGTGTTTCGAAGCTGTAAGAATTTAGATGGCCAAAACAAGATCAGACGTCTTCATGCAGGAGAGAATTATCTCTGTGTAATCAAGCTATTTTAATCTCAATAATTATTTTGGCTCTAAGGATTGCTGCATTCCCTCTAAAAGAGCAGAACTGCATCTTGGGAGTCGTCCTGGAATTTTGGGTACTGCTTAAACAATAATTGGAAGCTGTGGCCAGGAAGGCATTTTCCCAGTTCGGCTGATGTGACAGATATGTGGAGTAGGGATCCCTTGAAACAGTGATTCATATCCTCATCACTACCAGGCTAGTATATTGCCTTTTTCATGGCACTGCTCATGAAGATGATTCAATAGCAGCAATTAGTTCAGAACATAACATTCAGTAGTAGGACACCTACGCTGAGGTCACTACACTGATTGCCAGTAGGCCTTCAATTCTAATTCAAAGTGCTAGTTTTTACCTTTAAAGCCTTATATAACCTGTCACCTATGTATTTGCAGGACCCTCTCTCCCAGCCAGAATCTTTGCCACTATTTATATTCCTGAAGAATTAGAAATCATTTTATTTCAAAAGGGCTTTTAAGAAAGACAATATGTTTGGGGCAAATTATTTTGAATTATCTCTAAATACATGGTGAACATTCATGGAAGACTTAAAAGACTGTAAACATCACATGAGAAGATACTGAAGTACTTGCTCAAGACCAAAAATGCAGGAAACCCCTTGCTGCCCAATATGCTACCTAGCATGGGTGGGTCTAATGATAATAAAAATGTAATGTTTATATTTTTGAGTAACTGTCTTAACTATAAGGATTGATATAGAAGTTTTACAGTTGTTATTTAGATTAAGTTATTTACAGTTGTAAAAGTATTGTTATATACTCAATATTTACAATATTGATAAACAAACAAACCTGTACTGTGGTTTGTATTGTGTAAACATTCACCTTGATACATTAATTTGCTTCAATTATGTCCTCCTAAATTAACTCAAATATCTAGATTAGCAAGATCTAATGGTCCAAGTATGTTAGCTACTTGAATCCTGTAGTACAAGTTACACATAAACTACATGAAATATATTTAAAATGATGCTGATAGGTTAAACTGATGTCTCAACTACTTTGCTGGCTTTCAAACTTTATTTACAATATAAACAAATAGCTATTAGAGGCCACCAATTTTTAAACAGCATTCAGAATTTTTTTTCACAAACTTTTTTTAAATATAGCAGCCACTACAACTCACTTTTCATTATTTAACAATATAGGAATTTCAATGGTGTCCCTATGCATGCTATATAAAATATGATAGCTTTTAAAATAACATAATTAAGTTCTTTATTATCCTAAGTATTTTAAAACAGCAGTAGAATTTGTTGAACCTACTTATTTTACTTACAACTACAACGCTTACCTAAATTAGAAATGCCTTGACTTATGCCATGTTTTCTTTTACTATACACTACATGCTTCTTTACAGATGTCTGCAATTTTTATTACAATTCCGTACTATTCATTCACAATAAAATAGATTTAAACTATCAAGTTCATTGAAATCTGTATAAGAGACTAATTTTCATATTTCTTACAAATTGCAATGCAAAAATATCACTACAACTCCACACTAACTTAAAAATACATTCAGTTCATTTTAATTGAAAGCTAGGGATTTTTTTCAAGGTAACTATGGGTAGCTATTACTAAAAAAAACTATGATAAGATCAAAACTGCCTACTCATATTCAACACAATGTAATAAGCTGGACTATGGCCCATATTCAATTCCAACTGTTGAAATATCTTCAATTAAGATGACAAGGCAGCCTTAAAAGAAATGGCAACACAACCCAGAACTTTGACCAGATGTAGACTTCTGTCTGAAAGAACATCTGTTTCCATCTACTCATACTGAAGGCTTAAAAGAATGTCGCTACCTTTTTTATCCAATAAAATAAAGATGCTTTTTTTATCTAATAAGTATCTGCTATTATTGGGCTCACACAAGACATTAGCCTGAAATTAGTAATGAATTAGGTGAACCCAAACAATGTCGTAAATCCTGGGTTCGGTTAACCACAGACTGGCTTAATGTGGGAACTAGTTGAAAAGACCATCCAACCTTCTCTCCCCCAAAGGCCTTCCTAACCACAGCGACACTCAAGACCCCTTATGCCCCCAAACTGCCGGGAAGCCTCTTTTCTCCCCTCACCGGGCCCGTAGAACTTGCTGCCTTTGGTTACATCGAAGACTTTGCCGTTGACGGCCAGAAGGATGCGCGGCAACCGCGCGCCGTCGTACTCGCGCAGCTGCTCCAGAGTGAAGTCCCGCCGCTTCATGCGGGGCAAGGAGTGGGCCTGACTTTGTTGCGCCGCGCCCCCCGCTCCGATCCTTTTGCCCCAGCGCTTGTAGACCTGATAGGCCAAAAGCGTCACGATCACCAGCGTCAAGATAAATAGCATGTCGAACCAGCTTCCCCACAGCCAGCTTCCGGACGAGGCAGCCGCCGTCTCCGGCGGAGTGCCGCCGCTGTCGCCGTCGCCTTGTTCCGTCCTTAGCTTCCCAATCCCATCGTCCGCCATCACTGCCCAGCCAGCGCCTGCCTGAAACGAACCGCTCCGCCCCAGTCGGGGAGGAGGGGGAAAGGCGGAGGCGGGGCACCTTCTGTGTTTTTTCATTCCTCGCTCCGATTGGTTGCGATTAAAGACACGTCACCCATACTAGCTCGCGCCCAGCAGAAACGAATAAAAAACAGGTGCACGCGGCTACCCAACGGTTGAATTCCACCTTATGAAAAGCTTCGCTGGAGAGGGCGGGAGAAATCATGAAGCAGAAAAACGCGCCTGCGTCCGTCCTCCCCTTCCCCCCCCCCCCCCCCCCTTATATTCACAAAAACCTTCGCTCTTCGGTCGCCGTCGGTTTGGAGTTTGGCGGGTGGTTGGAGCTGTTGAAATGTAGGCGTGCTTTGATGGGCTCTGACGTTGCTGCGGGCTGAGTTCGTATACCTCGAATGCTTTTAGTTTATCATCATTACTATAAATACGCTTCTAGGGTCCCGCCCTGCAGCATAAAGCAGACGGTGCATACTGTAGTTGCTTATTTGGAGAAGGATTTTCGGGGCGGAGTTTCAGTGTCCTTTCTCCAGTGGAGAAGATGTACAATTTCCTAAGTCTCAGCCTTATCCAATCAGATGCCCTCCGGGTTGTTTTGGACGTCCTCGACACCTATCATTTTCGGTGGAATTGGCTAGAGGTTGTGACTGGTGATCTCATTTATTAATAAATGAGCTACAATTGCTGTATGAGGACATAAATAACGATT